TACAGACCAAGGCCTTTTAGCCCTCAAAACCCACCGGTTCCAGTTGTTTTAAAAATATCCCAACTAAGCAGATTTTTACCCATTTAGAGCCCACTTTTTGTGTCTACCCAACAGAACTGCACACAACATCAACTAGCCATGTTGTTGTTGTTGTGTGCTGTCGAGTTGGACCTGACTCATAGCGACCCCTCCTTGGGTTTCCGAGGTGGTATCACTACAGAAGTAGATTGCCCCATCTTCCTTCTGAAGAGTGGCTGGTGGGTTTGAACCGCCAGCCTTCTGGTTAGCAGTCAAGTGCCTTAGGCACTATGTTACCAGAGCTCCTTCAGCTAACCACAGATAAGATAACTCTGGTAGTTATAAAGAACCTAAGGTGCTGCTGCCTTCCGAGCCCTCTGACCCCCACCTTGCTGCTAAGGGATGTTGCCTAGACGTGTAAGCCCCTTTCTGCTTCCCTTTGTCCTGCCTGAGTACCCTTGCCCTCTTCCCCTTCTGCTGCTCCCTGTGTTACTTCCCTTTGGAGAGTCTCCTGCTGCAGGGGACTGCATGCAAACCTGTGAAAGCATTGGCCCTAATTAACAGCTTGCTGTGCAACACTGCTATCTCGTGGTCATATCTTTTTCCTTAGTCAGTACTAATACATGCTTGAACTCACTAAAAATAGGCATCTCAAACTCAAGATGTCTAAAATTGAACTCCTGCTCTTCCCCACCAGCTCCCCAACTCCTGCTTCTGCTGTAGTCTCCTCCATCTAATGACAGTACAATTCATCCTTCCAGGTGCTCCAAAAAAATCTTGGAATCATCTTTGACTCCTCTCTTTCTCTCACACTCTACATTCTGTCAGCAGAACAAATCCAGAATCTGACCAATTCGCACCATGTTGACTGCACTGACCCTGGTCAAAGCTGTCATTGCCTTGTCTGGCTTATTGTAAATGTAAGACCCAGAGCTATAAAACTTTTAGACAAAAACATAGGTGGATGATAAAGAAGAAGAGGAGAAAAACGTAGGTAGATCTTTGTGACTTTGTATTAGGCAGTGGTTTCTTAAGCTGTGGCATTAAAAGAAAGAATAAACTGGATATCATCAAAATTTAAGATTTTTGCTTTAAAGGACATCATCAAGAAAGGGAAAAGACAACCCTCAGAACAGGAGAAATATTTGCAAATCATGAATCCAATAAGAGACTTGTATCCATAATATATTAGGGACACTTACAACTCAGCAATGAAAAGGCAAATAACCCATTAAAAAATAGACAACAGATTGAAATAGGTATTTCTCCAAAGAAGATGCACAAATCGCCAATAAGCACATGAAAAGATGCTAAACGTTGTTAGTCATCAGGAAACGACAAATAAAAACCACGACGTGATACACTTAACACCAGCTACGATGTCTAGAATAAAAAAGACAATAACAAGTGTTGGCAGGGATGCAGAGAAATTGGAATCATCATACCTTTCTAGTGGAATTGTAGAATGATACAGCTGCTTTAGAAAATTGCCTAGCCCAGCCTCAGAAGGTTAAATACACAGTTACCAAATGAAGAGCAATTCCATTCTTAGAAATTGAGAACATACCGCTACACAAAGCTTGTAAATGAATATTCATAGCAACATTATTCACAATAGCCCAAATGTGGGGAAAGAACATTATATATATAATATATATAATGTGTGTATGTATATAATGTATATCAACTGATAAGTGGGTAAACAAAATGTAGTATATTTGTAAATGGAATATTATTCAGCCATTAAGAGGAAGGAATTACTAATACATGCTGCAACATGGCTGAACCTTGAAAACATTATTCTAAGTGAAAGAAGCCAGACACAATAGGCCACATATTGTACTGATTCCATTTATATAAAATGTTCAGAATAAGCAAATCCATAGAAGTCAAAAGTAGAATACTGGTTGCCAGGGGCTGAGGGGGTGGAGAATGGGGAGTGCCTGCTGATGGGAATGGGATTTCTTTTTTGGGGTGATGAAAATGTTCAAAAATCAATTGTTGTGATGGTTGCACAAATCTGTGGATATACTAAAAGCCATTGTATTGTACACTTTAAAAGGGTGAATTTTAGGGTATGTGAATTACATCTACATAAAGCTATTACTGAAAATCTTAATTATTTTTTTTTACTATCTAGTTCAAAAAGCACAACTAGAATTTTAAAATTCCTTCTTTGAACCTGCACACCATTTTTTTTTCTGCCTTATTTCCAAGTTTCCTTTTATCCCCTTATACTGAGTGATAAGTAGGGGTGGGTTTTGGGTTTGGCCTTAATCTAGCTCCTAACATAGTATCTTGACCATACTAAGTATTCTATAAAAATGGATTGAACTGGAGAGGGAGTTGAGAAAAAGACAGGAGAATCATGAGATGCAGCAGAAAATTTGAGGAGAATAAGGACTGAAAAAGAGACTGCTAGGTGTGTGAGAAGGAAGTCAGTTGCAAGCCGGTGCTCCCACTAATGTTTCACCATTGTAAGCAGATGCCCGTGGTACATTAGAAAATGATCATGTGCAAAAGCAGCCGCCAATGAACGTTGAGCATATGTAGCAGAGGTTAGTGTTATAACCAAACCTTTTAGCAAAGTCAATCTGACATGTTTAATGCTATGTATAATTGTTATGTGCTTCATAGTAATTAGGCATAAGTGATGAGCAATTTACATAAATAACTATAGTTAGTTTGGCTTTAACACTGCCAAATAAAAAATTTATAATTGTTTCTTCTCCTTTTGTTAGTCTTCTAGTTTATATGTATATACTGATACCATATAAAATTTAATTCTATCACATCATGATAGATAACACTTCTGAGTATGCCAGTACTCAATACTTAGAAGTAACTCTTCCAAGTGCTT